GCCCTCCGAAGCGATGATAATTTTGTCGCCTCTTCATTCACGGTCCGGTTGCATGTGGGTGGCTTGGTGGCAAAATGATCATTAGATTCTATATCAAAACGGTCATTAGAAAATCTGTACATAGGACTCAGCAGCATTGGATACATAAACTGTCGCTGGACCCACCTTCAGTCAGCTGGTGCAATCAACCTTATTTATTTTATCATTATCCCCCCCCTTGAAGAGCAAACTCCTCACTCATCGTCTACATAACTCGAACTCGTGAGTCACTTCGGGTCTTGTTTATGTCCTTGCAGTCTTCGGTAGAGTCATCAAAGCTGACCGATCGTAACTCCGACGCATCTCGTAATCCCTTTTATTTTCTTTATTCATTTAACCCAGGAATTTTGGTAACCGGATCAGCAAAAATGAAACTTATATTTATTGGAGTCGTTTTGATCGCTTTTGCTTCTCTTTGTAAGTGATCGAGTAGTGAACTGCATCATAAGGGGCTTCTTGATTAAGTTGATGTTAATAAGAATCGACAACTTTTTCGTCTCGTTTCTTGCCAAAATCTTTGGTGTCAGTGGAGGGTGTTAAAGCAGGATTAGTGATCAAAACGTTGGGTGGTAAATCAGGCTCAGGTGGGAAGGTCGTGCATGTTGGACGGGTGAAAGGAGGCCACGTAGCTCCGGGGAAATCTCAGACGGGGACTCGTTCAATAATGTACGGTGGAGGATGGTGGATGGAACCAACATTTGGATGACTTCGATCGGCTTCACCCATCCTACATTCTCGTTTCATTTCATTCCTTTTTCTCCTTGTGGATCCCGCCCATCTCTATCCACTCCCTTCACCAAACCCACAAGGTGATTTTAATTTGTTAACGAGTCAAGAAAAAATCAATCGCAGAATGGTTTCTATTTGATCCTTCTATAATCTATCCAACACTCCAGTATTAATGCATCAATCGGAATTATAAATAAATACTTACACTCTTTCTATGGACCCAATGAAAAAAAAAGTTACCTGCTTGAACCTTTTATGCATTTTTTTGCGGCTGTCATTCATGAACACGTGTTTTTCAATCCACAAGATTATTAAAACCCCTTCAAGAAAGCCTGATGCGGGGTATGTGATCAAGATGAAGACGGACCGGGTCAGCTTGTGATTAATCAAATTTTGACCCGGATGGAGGTTTGCGGTTGCTTTTTTCTCAGTGTTATGTAGCTACATTAAACATTCAACGGAGTAGAAAAAGAAAAAGTTCAAGAAAAGTGTTGTATCTCTCTCATGCTCAGTAGGCCTTATGTCCAGCAGGGGCTCGTCGGTGTCGATTATGTATGATTACAAGCAATTTCCTTGACTCCATGATCAGATTTGTTGTTTGCTGAGGCCATTGGGCGAAGATCTCAGTTCAATGAAAAGAAGAACAGCCTGTCCAGGATGAGGGAAAGATCATGGAGCTTCTTTGGGGAGTTTCTCAAGCGGATTTCACCACCGGATCACAATGGCAAGCCAATGACCGAATCCGATGATTCGGGGTGACAGCCCCCGAGCCCGAAACTGTTTACCCGATCCCGAATTGTTTTGGCTCATCCACTGCGCCAGCACATCATCGGCTCATCCAACTCTTCTCTGAAAACCTACCGCGAACAACCAACTTACTCCGAAAACATGCACAGAATTCAAGTCGTAAAACGCGTAGATCGATTGGTTTGCCAACCATTCCCATCGACCTGCGTAGGCCGAACTCATCTCTTCAAGCCGCCAGTCGGATTCTACCGGATGAAATCTGGAGCATCATCATCCTCTGATGGGAAACCGGCAGAACAGGACGAAAAACTTCACCCGATATTCTCGACGAATAAAACGGCACCCTTGCCCTCCTTCAAGACGGATCCCTATCCGATCCCACTCCAAAACCCAGCCCATCCTACCACTCAAACTGATACTACCCAGAGTTATAGCGTCAACCAGGAGATTTATCACCAAATCGATCAATTGAAACAGGTCGAGGACAAACATGCTGAGTCCTATGACGATGCTCTTTCTGCATCTACTATCGATAAACTCCGATCTAGATTGGTCTATCAATCTCGGAAACGTGGAATCGTCGAAATCGAGCTCCTTCTGTCGACTTTCATCGAGGCTCAACGATGGTTAAAGGATTGGGATTTGAAACAATTAACACAATACAGTCGGGTGAGTGACCGCCCAACTACTATTTAAAGATGCATATTCTTCTCGGAATGAAGAACATGGTACTGACGACCATCAACGATGTTTTTTTTTTTTTTTTTGGGGGGGGGGGATTGATTCTAGTTGTTGATGTTACCTGATTGGGATCTATACTATTATCTGGTCAAGAAACAAGAGCCTCCGTCGGACTCTGAGTTCTTCAAGTCTGACTTGCTCGATCAATTACGCATCCATACTTCGAACTCCAGCAAAACCGTCCGCATCATGCCCAGTTTACATTCCTGATTGAACACTTCTTCATATCTACACACACATGCACATTTACTCCGCTCATGGCACTGTATGGGGAAGATAACTCCGCCAAACAGCCATGTCCATCTTCAATGTCATTCTACCAATTGTTAACAAGCAGATCAATACACTCCCGCCCGGTTGTGTTCTTTTTCTCTTCTCTTCTCGTCATCATCATCATCACCCCATTTGTGAAAAAAGCAGTATGTAGTTGTACTCCTCCAGTTTTGTTTTCCCTTTTCAACTATTTCCGGATTACATTCAGGCTACTACTTACTACCTACCAAAAAAAATTCAGAAGACACCTTTTGCAAGACAAAAAAATTGACCCCTGATCGAGGTCTTCGCAATAAATCCATATGTGAGTCATGTTTTCAATTTCACCCGATAATCGATAGCCAATCGAGGGAATAAAGAATCATCCTTGAAAAAAGAAAAAAAAATCTGGCTTTATGAATTTTAAATTTAAGTAATGCACTATGTAAGGACGGGTACATTGGAAATATCTGGGTAAAGGTGAGAAAAATGAGTGGATTCTTTCAGATGATAACTATGGCAAGAATGAAACGTCCCGCATGATAATCCTTTGGGAACCATGTCGACGTTTAAAAAAACAAGTATAAATGCATACTCCAGCAACGTGAGGCAACCTGACGTCCAACCCTGGGATCAACACTGTCGTGCCTAACGCAAAGACTGATTGACGTCAACAACCCCAGGATCAACGGCAAGTTGGATGATGCAATGATCATCGTGGCATACCGAGCCTTGAGCAGTGCAACTTGAGGTGGAATACATATTAAGTTTTTGATTGAGGGCGTCGGCTTGACTCGGTGGGTCGACGCCAAGCACGGGCCCTGGTCGGTCCACTGAATGAAGATGACTAAGCTGGCGACCGGTTGCTCACGGCAGGGTGGAACTGACGGTTAGTTCCACCCTGCCGACCCGGACAGTTACGTCCCATGCAGACATTGTGACAACAATTGGTGCAACCGAGACCGGCCGGGCAGGCCGGTCGCCGCCGCATGACGAGCTCTTGGTCTACCCAGGGCCAATTGGCCCAGCACACAGCCGTTTCAGCATTCATATCCATGTAAATAAATTTTCCCAACCATCATTACCACTCCTTTCCCTTATCTTTCTTGTAGACCATAAGATGTGCAACAATCACGTTCCTTGAGGCTGAAGCACAGTGACTGGGATTAGAAATATATGTCAATCAACAAGAGATTAGAAATATATGTCAATCAACAAGAAATCTCAAGGAATTCAGAAGCTCAATAAATAAAGTATTTTATTGCAAGTGACCAAAGAATTGGCACAATCTACAGGACACAAACTGAATGATATCCATGAATTTTGATCTTTGGCAGAAGTAGGCCCCATTCACAAACTGCAAGTGTCTCAAAAATGAAATTTAACATTCATCAATTGTCTAGAAAATAAGTCAAAACTTTCAAGGGGATATACTACCTTGATTAATTTTGCATAATAACACTTCAGCAGCAATGGTCTGCTACAATACAATATGCTAAGCAGCCCACTACTATAGCGTAGTGGTCCTTAAAATAGTGGACCAACCATGCAGTTCCAGTGCACTGTTAGGGCCACTACACTGTGTTACACTGGTCTAATTTGCTTTTAACATCACAAAATGCCAAGAAAACACTAAAAAGTGCTATGGCACAGAATACCAGTCCTCTAGGCTCTGTCATGGCCCCCATGTGTTTTCTCAGCACAGACATGGGAGAAATCCACTGTGCTACACTACATTTTGGGGGAATTTCACTATGTTAAGCTGCATTAACACTACCTTGAGTGTAAGTGGCCAATTGTTGATTACACCTATGACAAGTATACAGTATTTCAAGAGACTGGTTTTATGTTCATTGAAGGCGGTATGAAGGTACAAATCAAGGCTTAGCCTGAGAATTTTAGAACCAAGTGTTATAATTGCTATCACAGTAGATAGAAATATAATCCATGTTCTCTACTCAGTACATACAAGGAAAAACCAGAAGATCTAGAAAGAAAAATGCAAGACAATAGAGATACACAAGTAAAATAACAAATGTCAGAAGTAGAATGAAAAATTGACTCACCCAGCACAGCAGATAAGAATATGGTCCACATTCTTCACCATTTAGGAATGTAGGAGAGATGAAGAGTTGGCCATGGTTAAGTAGCTATTTGTAACAGTTGGGTTATGTAACATTTATTTGGTGAAACCTATAATTGGTGTGATTTTTACCAGTATACAAATGCTATTATAATATTAAGATGCAGATGGCCTATTATATCTATCTTTGATTGCACTGTTGAGGAAAAAAAACATCAACCATTCTCAAACAGCAATTTTCTTACATCAATTTCAATCATTTCAAGTTTAGTTAATAAAGTTTGCAATTTTGTGCTCCCATTCATGAGACTGTTCACCAGTTACTTAGGGTTATAAATTTTCTTTCATCTCTCTTCTTTCAGGGAAAGATGAATGGTTCTACCCCAGCCTAAAGTAGACCCCCTTGCACATCATTAATTTGCTGGACTTATGAGCCAATATAGTCACAAGAGAGATGGATGTGGCAGTGAAAGG